CTCAGCGGCCTTCAATACCATCGACCATGGGATCCTTCTGTGACGGCTGGAAGGGGTGGGAGGGGGAGGCACTGTTTTATGGTGGTTCTCCTCCTACCTCTCCGACAGGTCACAGTTGGTGTTGGTTGGAGGGCAGAGGTCGACTCCTAGGCCCCTTAATTAGGGGGTGCCGCAGGGGTTGGTCCTGTCCCCCCTCCTATTTAATATCTACATGAAGCCACTGGGTGAGATCATTTGTCGGCATGGGATTAAATACCATCAGTATGCGGACGATACACAGTTGTATTTGTCCGCCCCGTGCCAACTCAGCGTAGTAGAGTGAGCGCCTGTTACTTGTCCCAGCTTCTGCCAACCTAGCAGTTCGAAAGAACATAAAAATACAATTAGAAAAATAGGGACCACTTTGGTGGGAAGGTAACAACGTTCTGTGCGCCTTTGGTGTTTAGTTATGCCGGCAACTTGACCACGGAGATGTCTTCAGACAGCGCTGGCCCTTTGTCTTTGAAATGAAGATGAGCACCGCCCCCTAGAGTTGGGAATGAATAGCACATATGTGCGTGGGAAACCTTTACCTTTATCTTATTTTTACTTTCAGCAAGCCAGCTTGCTGTTAACTTAAAGGAATGGTTAAAAAAAAAAAGGAAGGTCAGGTGGAACAGGGAGCTGGTGGGCCTCAGGGAAGGTGCCCACAGAAGCATTTGTGCCCTTAGAAGGTATATTGGGGGACCGACGATAGAACTTTATGAATTATTGAGAATTATTAAAAGTGTTTAACTTAACTCAAAAGATTCAGTTTATTTATGAGTTCATCTTTTTCTTCAAGAATGATGAAGTCCTCTTTACATGCAGAAGAGGATGATTTTGTGCCTGAGCTTCAGAGAAGTATCCATCCCCGTGAAAGACCAGATTGGGAGGAGACCCTCAATGCAATGGTAAGGCATTATTAACAATATTATTGGATACATTCTGTTTGTAGTTATTTAAATGACCTGCGATGTGTAGAATTTTTGAAAATGCACTCATTACTTGTTAAGCTGAAAATGTTTCATCTTTGGATGCACCTCATATATAGGAGAAAGATGATGTGCCTACTGAGTCTGTTCCATTAAATCATCTTGGATAGCATAGCCTGTGATTATTTATTGTCAATAATGCTGCAGTGATTCTCAGGCTTCATTAATTTCTCCTTTAGCTACCATCCACAAAATGTGATCCCTCTCCTTGAGGAAGTTAATCTTACAAGCATACATATTTATTAGCATTAGAATAATCTAGCCTGGAAAATCCTGACGATGAGAATTTAAGGTAGTCCTCACTTAGTGACCACAGTTGGGACAACTCCTCCATTAAGCAAAACTGAGTGGGAAATCACGTGACCCTGACTCTGGTAATCAGTTTCACATCTTCAGGCTTTTGCCTCCCAATCACCCCCTTGCCCTTTGGAATATTCACTCGGATGTTGTGATAATTGGCTTGAAGGAAATTAATGTTTGTATTTACATTCATTGGTGAGGAAGGGATTACAAGAGANGTATTGCGATGTCTATGATTGTAACCTTATTTTTCTCAACCAGTGTGATGTCTGGTGTATTATGAGGTTTATTATTATTATTGTTGTTGTTGTTGTTATTGGTCACACCCTAAGCCTGATGTTTAGATTGGATTTGGCATTTTTATTCACCTATAGAATGGAACCCAGACGATGTTTGATGGTGTTAAACGTTATTGTCGCCAAATGTAAACTATTCCAAGCAAAGTTATCTTTTGCAATTGACTGATAGTGATTTTGTCAATGCCCATGGTGTTCAAATGGTGCTCCAGTTGTTTTGGGATTATTATTATTATTAACTAAGGGAAAAGCGATAAAAACATCAGAAGGGGGAAAACGAGAGAATGATTTTAATATCTTATTTCAGGAATTCCTCCTCCCGATTGCCTTAATAACTCAATGTTCTCATATTAATTCAGATTCAACAAAATTAAATTGAAAACAGGTTTTGAAGTCGGTAAATGTCTCTGATTTTTATATTATTAAATTAGCAACGAATCCTGTTTTAGACAGCAATTTCAGAATAATTTCACATGGGACAAAGCCTAGTTGTTCCACTACTGGCAAGTTGAGAGCTTTCTGGCCTAGTATTACGATTGAATTAGCATAATGTCATGGTTAAATTAGATTAATCACAGATGAATTATTCAGTGCCACCGAAGCAACTTTTCTTCTTTAGCAAATCTATTTAGAAAACCATTCTTAAATAGCAGGTGAAATGATGTAATATTTGAAGTACTTTTTTTCAGTCCTGACAGGTTGACTCAGCCTTCCATCCTTCCGAGGTCGGTAAAATGAGGCCCAGATTGTTGGGGGCAAATAAGCTGACTCTGTAAACCATTCAGCGGGTGGTGTATGTATAAGTCTTATATACGTATACTTGTATATGTATACTTGTATACTTGTATATAAGTCCAAGTGCTGTTGCTAAGTGCTAAAACATTGGTATCTAAATCTCTATCACCATCTTTTAATGACCCCATAATCCCCTGCGGGGTAGAGTTTGTACAACTGAATGGAGCTAGCAGAGTGTTTAATGGCCGGATTCCCTTCCTGTCGGCTGTGCAGTGTTTTGTTAAAGCAGATATATTCTTTGGGAGACAGTACCATGTTTCCCCCAAAATAAGGCAGGGTCTTATTTTCTTTTGAACCCCCGAAATAAGCACTTGGCCTTATTTTCGGGGAGGTCTTATTATTTTTGAGGTGCAGGAGGCAGCCGAGCTTGGTGACCTTATGGCTGCTGCTGTGCGGCAATATTTTCGGGGAGAGCTTATTTTCATCCATGCGCTCAAAGGCCCGATTGGGCTTATTATCGGGGAGGTCTTATTTTCAGGGAAACAGGGTAGGAAGAGCTGCAGCTTACACAATAGTCAGTTAAAAAAAATTATTTTTTTTTTTTCAAAACAAACACAACACATAAAATCTTCCTTACATACTGTAGAAAGTGTATCAGTCGGTTATAAAAGGCTTTTGTGCATCTCTTCCACAGTCATCAAACACAATTCATATTAACTCAAGTATTTTAACTCAGATATTTATACATGTTACCCCTGTACTATAATTTGACTATAATTATTTAAACGTCCTTCATCATAAAATATACCAAAATTTAATACATAACCACATACTGGCATTTCATTAATATTTCAAAAATCCTCCGATAACACTGAATCCTTATGTCCTATTCTA